GCTATGCCGCACGTTCCTTTCCTTTGCTATTGGAGACAAAAATTTCATTCATCTCTCTTACTACTGGTTGATCACCCCTTATCTGTTTGATTTCCTCGGGTGTCGGAAACTTTAACAATTGGTGATATGTTGAAGGCACAACTTTTATCTCGTGCAGCCATGGTCTTCCCAAGATGATATTATACCCCATGTCTCCATCTACCACTTCGAAGAGAGTTGTCTTCATTACTCCTTCAGTGTTCGTGAGTAACAAAAGTTCTCCCCGGGTTGTCACGCTTGCAAGGTTAAACCCAGCGAGGAGTTTGGTTGCCGGGATAATGCTTCCGGTGAGTTTAGCTTGCTCTAGTACTCTCCATTGTATGATATTAGCCGAACTTCCTGGATCCACTAAAACACGTTTAATTTTAAAATCTAGCATATTTAAAGAAATTACCGGTGCGTCATTGTGCAGTAGCAATAATCCGTCTGCATCTTCATCCATAAATGTGATATTGTCTTCCCGGAGCCACTTACTATGAGTTATCGATACTTTTTTCTTCTTCACTGCCAAAAAGGTGATGCAATTAATCTCATTCCCTCCGAAGATCATGTTGATCGTTTGGCGTAGGGGTTCTTCTCCTGCTTTTGAGGTTTTCGCGTAGCCCCTGTTCCGATCATAATTGTTTTTAGCTCGGTCACTTAAGAATTCTTTGAGGTGACCATTCTTTAACAGTGTTGCCACTTCTTCCCGGAGGTGTCGGCAGTCCCCATTCTAGTGGCTGTTAGTGCCATGGTATTCATACCATAGATTGGGATCCCTCTGGATGGGATCAGATCTTATAGGTCTCGGGAATCGTGCCTCTTTAATATTTCTCATGGCTGATACCAACTCCACCACACTGACGTTGAAGTTATACTTTGATAACTTTGGGTAAGAAGAATCTCGCGACCCCGAGATTTCTTTATCCTGCAACGATCTGTTATTCCAGCCACGATCGGTCCTTCTATCAATGGTGAACTTGTTTGTTGTCCGGAAGATCCTGCCACGACCTTCTGTCCGCTCGTAGGGCAAAAACTGCTCCCTTGAAGTCCGTATATCCTTGTCAATATCATCTTTCATTTTTTCTCTATTCTTCTCCCATCCTTTGGTCGACGATAGAAAGCCAACCTGATCATCTACGATCCTTATTTTGAATCGTACCGATTGTGGACATCCGCTCAAGTCGTCTCTTGAAACTCAAGCAGACTTTCCTTCAACTTCCCGGAAGCATCCGAACTTCTCGGATTTAAACCTTTGGTGAACGCTTCAGCTGCCCATTTATCCGAGACTGTCGGTAGTAACATCTTTTACTTCTGGAATCGGGTAACGAACTCTCGTAATAACTCGGATTTTCCCTGCAAGATCCTGAATATGTCGGCCTTTCGGGCTTGTACCTTTCTGGCACCGGCATGAGCCTTGATGAAAGAATCTGCGTGCATCTCAAAGGAATCTATGGAATGCTCTGGCAATAATGAATACCACGTTAAAGCTCCACTCGTGAGAGTCTCATAAAATTTCTTTAGCAACGCGGATTCAATTTCTTGAAGAGCCAAATCATTTCCTTTAACCGTTTTTGTGTAGGTGGTAATGTGCTCCTGTGGATCTGAAGTTTCGTCATACTTCGACACTTCGAGCATTTTGAATCGCTTCGGAATTACTTCCGGAACTACGCTCAGTTTATATGGTAATTGAATATACTTCTTCAAATTTGGGCCTTTTAATACTGGTGGTGCGCTCGGGATTTGATCCATACGGGCATTTACTTCCTTCATGAACCGCAAAAGTTCATCCTTGAACGGATCGTTCTTGTTGTTGAAGTCGGATCTACTCCCTAAAGCCCTGTCGGAGCCAATTCGCCCTTAGGAATGTTATTATCAACTCTATGAGGCACCCGATAGTGGATCTCACCTGTTTGCATTATTTGAGGCACCCGATAGTGCCTGCTTAAGTTCCGTCATAACCTAATCCTGCCGCGTGAGATTGCCTAAAGTGATTGCATGATGCTCTTGCAGGACCCTTACTGCATCCGCTATATGCTCCTTATCAGCATCATCAGGAGTTGCCTCCCGAACCTATCGAGGCACTACAAAATAAAATAATTCTTCACTAATCTCATTTAGCGACGGATTAGCAATGGATTATCTAGAAGTTCTGCTAGCTACGAGCGTTTTAGCGACAGATTAGCGATGACGTTCGTAACTTATTATATTTTGTTTTTGTAATGAGGGTACCGCCTGTCATGTACCGGTGTAGCCTCGTTCCCCTCATTGCGAGTGTCACTAATTGAATCCTCGAAATGAGGTTGTTCCCCATGAATTTCAGGGTTGCGTGTGCCTTAACAGCGTTATCTGCCATTTGTTTTTTGATTTTTTGCTAAGACAAAGTAATCAAAACATGTTAGTAAAAAAGGCAAGGATCAATTTAATTACACGGCTGTCTAGGTCCCACGGTGGGCGCCAAACTCTTTATTCATAAAACGGTACAGTTGAATTTATACGTGATTTCTAGACAAGCGAACTAATTTGATCCTGAAATAATATAATAATCGAAGATATATGCAGTACTTAGTCTTGGAATATAGATGAAATAGCAAAGATAATGGTTCTGTTAACACAATTTCCGAACACATCAATGTTGGGATAAAAAAGTAAGAGAGCAAAATTGTATAAAGCTTTGTATAGACTATAATATGTGTTCTTGCCAGAAATTTCATGTCCCTTACAATGATCATTGAGCTTATTATTTATAGCTACGAAAAAGGTACTAGGGTCATGCGCTTCTTTAATGTCATTTATGAGGAGCATTGATGAAGACCTAATGGTGAACATAAATGTCAAATTCTCTGTAACGGGCCGTTGCTCTTAATGTTGTGAAATATTCCTCATTGAATACTACCGGGCGCAAAGTATTTAATGCCTTCATGAATGTTATCTTTTCTAGTGACACACGGGATAGTTGCGTCCGATTTTTCGTCCTCCTGACTTAGGTTCCACGTGCCCCCTTCTTGGATGACCACGTGCCATAACATATTTTACCTAATACACCAAGTACTCTCCCAAACACTCAAACTTCCATATCACCTTGTTGGTTGCTTTGTCTATAGGCAATATTCCCCACCACTTCCCATTATTCATTTACAAAATGTTCAACTAAAATCCGACAAGAAAAATCAAGATTAACGTAAGAAAGAAAAATCAAATTGTATCCTTAAGAAACCAATCAAGAAAACAAACAGAATCTTTTTAGTACTGATTTTTCTTTTCTTTTAAACATCATTGTTTTGAGATTATTCAAATGATGAAACAGTTGGTTACATCACATATAAGTTATTTAGATGTCATCTGTCGATAGCCGACACGTGGCACATGTAAACAAAAATTAATTAATACAATTCTATTAATAATCGACCCCCTTAATGATTGTAATTAGAGAAGATCATGTTCAAACGCAAGTCAAATGATAAAATTTGTAATTATGGTGTATATTGATCGAGTTTTTCTCCCTTAAGGAAAATGTTTTAACCATTGATTAGCTATAAGAATAGTTTTTCCTTTTCAAAGCTAAACAACTAAGCCACCAGTGTTTGTCACATTTGTCAAAGATAATCACTTTAACAAGGACTTTAAGGGGACATGACCAAGCCATCACCTCATTTATTCAAACATTTGACATGGTAGACAAATTGTGTTTTACTTTAATGCTTCAATTAGTAAACATGTCATTTTCAAAAATATGAAAAAGGGGGGAAGATAGAAGGATCTATCTACTTTAATTTTAATTTTCAATTTAACATTAATTACAAATTAAAGGGGAAAAACTTTTACTTTTTCTCGGTAAACAGGCTGCTTGTTGGCGGCATATATAGGTACAGTAGTTTTATTAAAGAAGGGAATGTAAAGTAGGACATTGGAAAGAAAAAGTTTTCACCTAAGGAACTTCCTCATTCTCTTAATGTTGGATCTTTTGAAGTAAAAAAGAAGCTATAGGAGAAAAGCACTTTATCATAATGTCCATATATAATCTATGGCCACAAGAATATAGTAAAAAGTATTTTTCCTAGCTATTTGGCTATTCTAAAATGAGACATCAATTTTTACTGCGCATTAGTTCACATTGTTAGACGTGGAAAACTAGGAAATTGAAATCCCCTTCTCATTATTCTTTAAAAAATAGTTGGTAGTACATATTCAAAGAGCACAAAGAAGTAAAAATATGTGCATCTTCGCATAAGACATGCCAAAAACCCTCTTTATTTCGCTCTTCGAACATCATACATGCAAAATTTATTATGTCAAGTAATGCTCAAAATGCATGTCGAAATAGCTATTTAGGATTCATATATTTGATCCATGAATAATAGCTAGTTGATGGATTGGTTGACTGATCATGCTAATACTCGAAATGTTGTTAACTTGTCTTTAATTTGTTCCAAAAGATCACTTGGTCAAAATAATATAGCTTGTTAATTTAAGAAGTTCTATAATCTACAATTACTCTCTACTAGAGTTTAACGAACTAATAACAATAATCAAGTCGAATAATCATATACTAATTTTCTCATTAATTGACTACTATAAAAATTTGAGCTTATGGCGAGTGGAATGAGCTTCTTAAGTGCAAAAACCAGTGGCAGAGCCACTCTTGTGTAGGAGGTGAATCGACACCTCTTTATCAAAAAATTATACAATTATATAGATAGATAATTTTTTTATTACTGAATATATATTACTTATGTTGAATATGGAATGTTTGGTGTAGTATATTAATTACCCTTTTTTTTAATACTATATGCTGAATTCGCTTAATATTTTTATATTTTAAATTCCTTTAATAAAATTTTTTAGCTATGAACTATGAAAGACTAATGTAATACACGCAAGTACAACTCATATTATATATATATATACACCTTCCTAGTACCTAACACACACAAACGTAAAGTTTTAAAGTGGAAGTGTGTGAGAGAGATATTAAAGAGGAGATGTACCAATATGTATGGTAAGTATGGGGACAAGAGAGAGACAAGGCGGGCTATAAACTTCTATGTCAGTGCTACTCTTTTGCCCGACCCAACTTCAATGGATTCTCCTTTTTCTTTCCTTTCTCAACCGACATTGGTTACCCTTGTTATTTTCGTTCTCTTTAAGTTTACTATATATATAAACATGTACAACTTCAAAGTAAAGCTAGCCAAGTAATGGAATATAACAAAGCTCTCTACATGATTTCTCTCTTTTAAGCTTATTTTATAATCTCTATAATATTTTTATGATATGGAGCTTGAGCTTGGTCTTGCTCCTCCTTATAACAATTTTCCTACCAATATCAAAGGATTCGACCAAAATGACATTGCTAGATTTGAACCAAAAGAGATGAACATGATGAGGAGGAGGGATAGTTTTGGTGATAACTTCTCAAAGATGAAGCAGAAACGTAGTTTTGCAGAGGCCTTTGAAAATGGCAGTGAAGGAGTTGAACGTAAAACTTTGTCTTTGCTCATATGGAATGGCCAACCAAATGAAGAAGAAGAAGATAATGATGATGGTCGCCATGGAAGAAAGAAGATACCGTTTAAGGCTTGCGACGAGTAAGCAGATAATTTACATTTTTATAACCAACCTGTTAATCTGAGATAACACACATGAACGGTATAAATTTTATACTAATATACTACTTATTTTTTACGATAATATAAATTAGGTCATCTTTACTCCTTTGTTATATGGATATTGCTGGACCATTTTTTCGTGTGATTGCTTTTCCTTCTTGTTGATGATTTTGTTAAGAGAAAACGCCCAATTTAACGGTTACACTATTTGAAATTGCTCGATTTTAATTTGCATTACACTTTTTATAAATTCATAACTTAACAATTATAATTAGTAAATCTTTTCGTAATTGCCCTTGTCAGTAACAGACCGCTTTAGTGTGAAATGGATACTCTCCATGTGTTCTTCAAGGAAAAATATCCAAATTTACCGCTCAACTTTGACTAGGTTACTCTTATCTTCAAGTTAGAACTTCGTTAGGATCATACACAAAAAGCGAGTTTTTTTTCTTAATGGATAGCATAGGACAATTTTGATCCTTTTCCATTTTGCTAAGATACTTGCGAGTAAATTTTTTTTTGGTTTCTTATTCGGTGTTCGGTACCCACATTGGGGCCTGACTAAATCCGGATTCGCGCCGGAAAGTCCCACATTGGAGGATAAAACACTCCCTAACAAAGGCGACTTCATAACCAGGGACTCGAACTCTAGACCTCTGATAAGGATGAAAGAGTACTTACTACTCCACCACAACAACTGTTGGTAAGTAATTTTACTAATGGTGTTTTATCTCTATTTTTTTTTTTTGGAATATAAATTGTAATACAGGGATTCTGAGGAAGAAAATCAAGTAGTTGGGTGGCCACCAATTAACACATGGAGACAAAAGCAATTTCATGGGAATTATAATCAAGGTTGGTGGATTACAAATGAAAGAAAATACGTGTACGTGAAGGTGAAGATGGAAGGAGTGGCCATTGGAAGGAAGGTTAATCTAAGGCTCTATGATTCATATCAAGTTCTTGCCCACGATTTAGTTCAAATGTTTACAAAATGTAAGTTCACTCCCATAATTAATTACATGATTTTTAATAATTCTTTTTAACTAATGAAAATTGAAGTGATAATAAGTTTCATATTGTTATTATTATTCTTTACAGACCTAAATCTTGATGACAATCATAGTACACGCTTTATGATCTTGTACCAAGATAAGGATGGAGACTGGATGCTTGCTGGAGATGTACCTTGGCAGTATGAACTTTCACTCTATGCTATGTTATCAATACATTGACGCTATTGCTAATATTTATTAATATTGGCACTACCAATGGTTTTTGCAGAACATTCCGGGAGAGTGTTCAAAGAATAGAAATACTAAGGAATGAGAAATGAGGGNATATAACAGTTATATTGTAATTTGTTACTTAATTTTTACTAATATTGGACTTCAAGAATGCATTAGAATTTTCAGAGGTTTTCTTTTCATTTTCTCCTGTATTAACCTCTTATAATCCTCTACAATACATCAAAGATATATGTTGTAACCTCAAATTCAAATTTGCTCTTCCATGTCAATTTATATTCTCCCTCGAATTTGTGCAATAACTAGAGCAAATATGTCACGGCCCCAAATTTCCTCTGTAGGATGTTGTGACGGCACCTAGTCTCTAACAGTAGCTAAGTCTAACAATATACGAAAGCATTAAATAAGAGATTAAAATTTGAACACCCTAATATTTTAATAAAACTCAATATGTACAATCTCAAAACCTGGTGAGATATAAGGCACAAACTCTAGATACAGTACCGAACAATCCTATACATCACTGTCTATCAAAATGTAAAGAAATAAGAAGAGAACGGGGTAAAAGGGGACTCTGAGCCCTGCGGGTGCGGGCATGTGTACCTTGAAGTCTCCAAAACAGCAACACAACGCACTAATATCGAGGCCGATAGGATGCACCTGGATCGGCACAAAACATGTGCAAAAGCATAGTATGAGTACACTACAGCGGTACCCAGTAAGTGCCGAGCCTAACCTCGGTAGAGTAGTGACGAGGTCGGGTCAAGACCCTACTGGGGATAATAAGAAACAAGACAGATAATATGATATAATGAAAATGACAGGGAAGTGAATAATAAAGAAATTACGGGAAATAATAACACGGAATCAATGAAAGCTCATACAACACGAAAGGAAAACTAGAATTTTAAATGATAAGGAAAACAAGAACCAAACCATACAACAAATAAAGAATATCAACAAGGCACTACCGAGGTACCACCTCGTAGTCCCAAATCGTAAAAACAAATCACAATTTTTCCTTATATCATCCCGAGAGCCTTTATATTTGGTTTTTGAAAATTATTTTTCCGAAATAGCATCCCGCCTTTTACCCCACCTTATTACACCGCATGACTTCTAGTAGTTCCCCTACTAGCCGCACGTATCAAGCCCACCTTATCTCACCGTATGTGTTTCAACACCCAGACCTTATACCACCACATGCGTATCAATAATCACAATGGCACAACAGAAACCTCATGCAACAATAATAACCGCACGGGAGAAACCTCGTGCAAACAACCAAATAATTACCTCAACAATAACAAGAAAGCCAAAACACAATAACTGAATAAATGATATTCCAAGGATAAAAAATTCAAGTAAAGAATTTTCACAGTTAAGTAATGAATACGAAAATCAAGAAAAGCAAGTAATTCAACTAAACATGTGATACAAGTTGCAAATAAGAGATAAGGCAAGTAGACATATGAAATTAGGCTAAACATGATGACTATAACATGCTAAAGTAACTCAATTAAGGCATGAAAAGGAAACTACATAGCGAAAACCGGAATTTTAACATTTAGCCCGTGTACACACTCGTCACCTTACGTATACGGCCTTCACATATCACAAATTATCACCAAACTACCAAATCCTAAGGAGAATTTCCCCCACATAAGGTTAGACAAGTCACTTACCTCAAACCACGCTCAATCAATTAATTAGAAGGCCTTTCCCTCGATTTTCCAACTCCGAACGACTCGAATCTAGCCAAAATAATTTCATACTATAAATACAACCATAGAAAACTAGTTTAAATAATGAAATAATAATTTTAGCTAAGAATTGAAAAATTGCTCCAAAAAGTCACCCTGGGCCCGAGTGCCGGGATCCAACAAAAGTCACAAAATCCGGAAGCGTATTCAACCACGAGTCCAACCATACCAAATTTACCAAAATCAGATACCAAATCGTCACTCAAATCCCCAATTTAAACTATCCAGATCCCTAACCTCAAACTCTAAAATTACACCTCAAAACCACATAATCTAGGTGGGATAATTAATGAAAAAAATAAATTATAACCACAAGTGACTTACCTCAAGAATCCCTTCGAAATCCCTCTCAAAAATCGCCTAATCCTGAGCTTCAAATGTCCAAAATGATGAAAAATCATGGAACCCTCAATTTTAATACACTGCCTAGGATTTCCGCACCTGCGGCTTCGCGGATGCGACCAAGACATCCGCTCCTGCGATTGGCTTCGCGCCTGCCGACTCACATCTGCGAGCACACTGTCGCTTCTGCGAAGCCAGCTCCCTTTAGCATTTCCGCTTCTGCGATGGCTGGTGCACACATGCGGCTTCGCACCTACGATCAAAACCTTCGCAGGTGCGATTACACTAGACCTGGTGCTTCAGCAATCTCCCAAACTCCAAATTGGATGTGTTAACCATCCGAAACCACCCCGATGCCTCCAGGACCTCAACTGAATATACCAACAAGTCCTAAAACACGATACGAACTTAGTCGAGCCTTCAAATCACATCAAACAACGCTAAAATCACAAATTATGCATCGCTTTATACCTAATGAACTTTTGAACTTCAAACTTCCACATCCGATGGCGAAACTTATCAAATCATGTCCGATTGACCTCAAATTTTTCACACAAGTCCTAAATGACATTACAGACCTATTCCAACTTCTGGAATCAAAGTTCGACTGCGATATCAAAAAGTCCACTCCCGGTGAATCTTTCTAAAAACATTTCAACGTTCTAACTTTTGCCAATTTACGCTGAAATGACCTACGGACCTCCAAATCAACATCTGGATACGCTACTAAGACCAAAATCACCATACGGAGCTATTGGAACCAACAAAACTCTATTCCGGATTCCTATTCACTCAAGTCAAACTACGGTCAACTCCTACGACCTAAACTTCTAATTTAGGGACTATGTGTCCCATTTCACTCCGAAACCAAAAACCAAACCTCTCGGCAAGTCACGTAACCACAATATAACACAGAGAAAGCAATAAACAGGGGGGTCGGGGCTAATACTCTTAAAACGACAGGCCGCATCGTTATATCCTCCCCCTCTTAAAACAAACGTTCATCCTCGAACGAGTATCGAGGCATACCTGAAGTGGTAAAAAGATGAGGGTAACGACTATGCACATCCTGATCGGTCTCCCAAGTCGCCTCCTGGACTGGATGACCCCTCCACTAGACTTTAACTGTAGCAATGTTCTTCGACCTCAACTTTCGGATCTGCCTGTGAAAATGGCCACCGGCTCCTCAACATAAGATAGATCCTTATCCAACTGGACAGAGCTGAAGTCTAGCACATGAGACAGATCACAGTGATACTTCTAGAGCATAAAAACATGGAATATTAGATGAACTACAACTAGACTAGGTGGTAGTGCAAGCCTATAGGCCACCCTTCTGACCCTCTCAAGAATCTCAAAAGGCCTGATATACCTAGGGCGCAGCTTGCCTTTCTTCCCGAACCTCATAACACCCTTCTTGAGCAAAACTCGAAGCAAGACCTGCTCCCCAACCATGAATGCAACATCGCGAACCTTCTGATCTGCATAATTCCTCTATCTGGATTGGGTTGTACGAAGTCGATCCTGAATCAATTTAATCTCTTTCCAAAGCATCCTGAACCAAGTCTGTACCCAATAGCCTAGCCTCACCCGACTCAAACCAACCCAGCAGAGACCGGCACCGCCTACCATACAAAGCCTCATACGGGTCCATCTGAATGCTCGACTGATAACTGTTATTGTAGGAAAACTCCGCAAGTGGCAAGTATTCATCCCAAGAACCCCCAAAAACTATCACACATGTACAGAACATATCCTCCAATATCTTAATAGTGCGCTCGGACTGTCCGTCCGTCTGAGGGTGAAATGTTGTACTCAACTCCACCTGAGTAACCAACTCATGTTGTACAACTCTCCAGAACTGCGATGTAAATTGTGTACCCCGGTCAGAGATGATAGATACCGGCATGCCATGAAGCCTGACAATCTCACGAATGTACACTTGAGCCAGTTGTTCCGAATTGTAAGTAGTCACCACTGGAATGAAATGAGCTGACTTGCTCAGTCTATCCACAATCACCCTAACTGCACCTCTGAGTCTGTAGGAGCCCAACAACAAAATCCACAGTAATCCACTCGCATTTCCACTCCGGAATCTCTAGCTTCTGAAGCAATCCACCTGGCTGCTGATGCTCATACTTTACTTGCTGACAATATAGGCACCGAGATTCATATTCCACTATGTCCTTCTTCATTCTCCTCCACCAATAATGCTTCCTTAGGTCATGATACATCTTTGCGACACCTGGATGAATGTAGTACCTTGAACTGTGAGCCTCCTAGAGAATCAAATCACGCAAGCCATCTACACTGGGCATACATTGCCCGCCCTACATCCGTAATACACCGTCATCTCCAATAGTGACCTCCTTGGCATCACCGTGCTGAACTATGTCCTTAAGGACAAGCAGATGGGGGTCGTCAGACTGACGCTCTCTAATACAATCATAAAGAGAAGACCGAGAAACCACACAAGCCACTACTTGGCTCGACTCAGAAATATCCAATCAAACAAACTGGTTGGCCAAGGCCTAGACATCCAAGGCTAACGGCCTCTCCACTACCGGTAGATATACTAAGCTGCCCAAACTCTTCGCCTTGTGACTCAAGGCATCGGCCACCACATTGGCCTTCCCGCGATGATATAGAATGGTGATATCATTGTCCTTAAGTAAATCCAACCACCTCCACTGCCGCAAGTTAAGATCCTTCTGTTTGAACAAATACTGTAAACTCCGGTGATCGGTGTAGACCTCACAAGGGACACCATACAAATAGTATCGCCAGATCTTCAAGGCATGAACAATAGCCGCTAACTCGAGGCCATTGACATGATAGTTCTTCTCGTGCACCTTCCGTTGTCTAGACGAGTAGGCAATCACCCTACCGTCCTACATCAACACCGCACCGAGACCAATGGGCGACGTGTCACAATACACAGTATAAGACCCCAAACCTATAGGCAACACACACACCGGGCTGTAGTCAAATC